AAAAAAAAAAAAAAAAAAAAAAAAAAAAACAGGCAAAGGATCTAAACAGACCTTACTTCAAAGAAGATAAGGAAATGGCCATTAGCCATCATGGAAATGCAAATCAAAACTACAATGAGATATGACTTAACATTCATTAGGACAGCTATTATTAAAAAGACAGACAATAACAAGAGTCTGCTAGGATGCGGAGAAACCGGAACCCTCATACATTGTTAGTGGGAATGTACAATAGTGCATACACTTTGGAAAAGAGTCATATGATACAGCAATTTCATTCCTAGATATATCCCACACAAAAACTTGTATATGAATATACATAGTAGTGTTATTCATAGTAGCCCAAAGTGGAAATAACCCAAATATCCATCCACTGATGGATGGATACATAAAATTCCATATAATGGAATATGATTTGGCAGTATAAGGAATAAAGTACCAATACATCCTACAACATGGATGAACCTTGAAAACATGCCGAGTGAGAAAAGCTAGTTACAAAAGACCATACGTTGTATAATCCCATCTATATGCAATGTCTAGAATAGCCAAATGTATAGGGGGAAATCGGAAGTGACTGCTAATGGATATAGGGTTTCTTTTTTGGGGTTGATGAAAATACAGCTGACCCCACAACACAGGTGTGAACTGCACTGGCCCACTGATACATGAAGTTTCTTCTGACTGTGCTGCCCCGAGACAGCAAGACCAAACCCCTTTCCTCCTCTCCCTCCTCCTCCGCCTACTCAACATGAAGATGACAAGGATGAAGATCTTTATGATGATCCACTTCCACTTAATGAATAGTAAACATACTTTTTCTTATGATTTTCCTGACAGCATTTCTTTTCTCTAGCTTACTTTATTGTAAGAGTATAATACATAAAGCATACAAAATATGTGTTAATCAACTGTTTATGTTATCGGTAAAGCTTCTGGTCAACAGCAGGCTATTCGTAGTTAAGCTCTGGGGGAGTTAAAAATTATACACAGATTTTTAGCTGCAGGGAGGCTGGTTCCCCTAACCTCCACGTTGTTCAAAGCTCAACTGTATTCTAAAATTGATTGTGGTGATGGTGCAGAACTCTGTGAATATACTAAAAAACATTCAATTTTACACTTCAATTTCACGAACTATAAAAAAAGATTGTGCAAATGTCCACTTTTATAAATTATTGAACATTTTCTTAATTAGAAAATGATTTTATATAGTTGCATTACTGCTTTGTAGACAAAGTACTTTTATTATAACTCTACAGAGCAGAATGCAAAATGATGCCATGCATTCATGTCAGTGGTTATTTGCTGAAATTATATCAGTATAGTTCATTAATCCTGCTTCAAAGCAGGTATAGAAAGGATTTCCAGTATGAACAATGTGTGGACTGAAAAGCAGAAGAAAATATGCACAGAATTGGGTACAAAGTAAGTGTATTTTCTTCAACATTATGTTCTGTTCGTATTGTCCTGAAATAAAAAAACAGGTCCTAAACATCTAAACAAATATAGAACATCCAAGAAAAATGATATAATAAGCAAAACATACAGAACACACACACACACACACACACACACAAACACACACACAAAATCTGGCAGCTGGAGAGACACACACACACACTCACACACACACACACACACTCACACAAACACTCTCTCTCTCTCTTTCTCTGGCAGCGGGAGCCACATCTACAGACAACAGTTCTTGGGGGAAGTCTCCCAGTTTCCTCCAAGGAAAGGATATTTCTCGATTTCATCTCCACTCCCCTGTCACCCTCGACTTAGGTGAGACAGGACAGAGCAGCTGTGCACACCAGTTTATCTCTTCTTTCAGGGGGTGCCCATATGTGTTGGCGTAAAAGGGAAGCAGGGGGAGGGGCCACTCTCGGGGGTGTGGCCCAAGAGTGCCAGCCGGAGGGCAGCCTCACTAAGCAGCACTGCCACCTTGCGGCTCGGGCTGGTCTCATCTCTGATTAAGGCCCCAGTGGCCCTCAAGGGGGCTCTTTCATGTTCTTCAGAAGAAAACATTTGGCAATTCAGTAGCATTCCTTCAAATATCATTTTTACGTTTTCTTCTTAAAAGTAATTCTTGTTCACTTTATAAAATTTGTTAAGTATATATAAGGAAAAATGAAATAATAAAATTATCTGTAAATCCAACCTCCAGAGATAACCAAGATTAGGCACTTGGTGTATATTCTTCCGGTCTTTTTTCTAAGTTTTCTTTTTCTTTTTCAACAAAAACAGGATTATACAGTACATACTGTTGTTTTATAAACTAAATATATTGAACAAGTATCTCTTCACTTTTAAAATATATTGAACGAGTATCTTTCACTTGTTGTTCTTCAGTACCTTTTATTTTATTATTTTGAGAAATGGTCTCGCTCTGTTACCCAGGCTAGAGTGCAGTAGTGCAATCTCTGCTCACTGCAGCTTTAGCCTCCTGGGCTCAAGTGATCCCCCCACCTCAGCCTAAGTTAGCTGGGATTATAGGCATGCGCCGCCACACCCAGTTAATTTTTGTAGTTTTTGTAGAGATGGGGTTTTGTCATGTTGTTCAAGCTGGTCTCAAACTCCTGGCCTCAAGTGATCCACCTGCCTCAGCCTCCCAAAATGCTGGGTTTACAGGAGTGAGCCACCACTCCCAGCCCATGACATCATTTTTGATGGCCGTACTGTATTCCTTTCTTTGGGTGCCTGGACCATAGTTCATTTAACCAACTATTGTTGGAATATTTAAATTATATCTATTTTTTTCACTGAAGTAAATAATGCTGAGATGAACTTCCTTGTTGCTGCATCTTTTTTTTTTTTTTTTTTTTTTGAGACAGCGTTTTGCTCTTATTGCCCAGACTGGAGTGTATTGGTACAACCTCAGGTCACTGCAACCTATGCCTCCTGGGTTCAAGTGATTCTCCTGCCTCACCCTCCCGAGTAGCTGGGATTACAGGTGCCTACCACCATACCCAGCCAATTTTTTTTTAATTTTTAGTACAGATGGGGTTTCACTATGTTGGCCAAGCTGGTCTCAAACTCCTGACTTCAGGCAATCCACCAGCTTCCACCTCCCAAAGTGTTGGGATTACAGGCGTAAGCCACCTTGCTTGGCATCAGAAACGTTTTTTTTTTTTGGGACGGAGTTTCGCTCTTGTTACCCAGGCTGGAGTGCAATGGCGCAATCTCGGCTCACCGCAACCTCCACCCCCTGGGTTCAGGCAATTCTCCTGCCTCAGCCTCCTGAGTAGCTGGGATTACAGGCACGCGCCATCCTGTCCAGCTAATTTTTTGTATTTTTAGTAGAGACGGGGTTTCACCATGTTGACCAGGATGGTCTCGATCTCTTGACCTCATGATCCACCCGCCTCGGCCTCCCAAAGTGCTGGGATTATAGGCTTGAGCCACCGCGCCCGGCCTCCGAAACGTTTTAAAGTGAGCTTTATTTTTACCAGTTACAACTACACTTATATACTTTTCCTATTTTTTAATTTTTATAAATTTCTAAAACAGCAAATTTGAAAGAATTGTATTAACATCCCTCCACCAACCTTCAACATTTTAAGCATTATACAACTTTGCTCACTCTGTTAATATATATATACGAATACTTTTTTTGCTTAACCTTTTGAAAGTAAATTGCAAATATTACGTCACTTCACCTCTGAATATATTTGCATGCATCTCCTAAAAGAAGGGCATTCCCCTACGTAACTACAAAATCATTATCACCCCTAAAAAATTAAAAACAATTATCTAATATCATCTAATATTTAGTTTATATAACATTTTACCCAATTGTCCCTAATTATAGATTTTTAAAAATCAGATTCAATCCAAGCTTATGAATTGTTGTCTCCTTTAAGCTGGAAGAGTCTCTTCTTTCTTTTTCTATAACATTGTCTTTTTGAAGGGCTCCAGGCCAGCTTTCTTACAGAATGTTCCACATTTTGGATTGAGTGATTATTTCTTCCTCGTGTTAACTTGTTCCTCTGGCCCTCTCTGTTTAGTGTGAATTGTAAGGTTGGTCTAGAGAACCTGTACAGAAGAATTCTATCGGCTGGACCCGGTGGCTCACATCTGTAATCCCAGCATTTTGGGAGGCTGAGGGGAGTGGATCACCTGAGGCAGGCCAGACCAGTCTGGCCAACATTTTGAAACCCTGTCTCTACTAAAAAATGAGCTGGGTGTGGTGGTAGGTGCCTGTAATCCCACTTACTTGGGAGGGTGAGGGCAGGGGAATCGCCTGAACCCAGGAGGTGGAGGTTGCAGTGAGCTGAGACCATGCCATCATATTCTACCCTGCACAACAAGAGTGAAGCTCTGTCTCAATTTAAAAACAAAAGAGAGAGAGAATTCTACCACAGTTGCTTGCATTATCGGTTCTGATTTATTCTATCCTTTCCTGTGAGGTGATTATACATCCTCTCCTTTTGCTATGTGAATTGCAGCACTTCTTTTTAGGAGGAATACACTTCACTGCCCTATTAATGGCAGGCAGGGCCACACGACTTGCTTTGGCCAATAAATGTAAGTGGAAATGACTATGCTCTTCCCTGCAGAAGGCTTAAGAACTATGGCAGACTGCTATCACGTTCCTTTTCCCTCTGCCATGAGGATGACACCTTCCAAACAGGGGCAAGGTCTTCTGCCCAGATCCCAGAATGGAGACGACAACACAGAGTAGAACCACCAGTGACCAGAGCCGACATAACATGTGCATAACAAATAAACCTTTCTTATTGTAAGCCACTGAGATTTTTGGGTTGTTACTCAAGTACAACTCAGGGAAAGCTAATTAAAACATAAAAACATGAGGCCGGGCGCGGTGGCTCAAGCCTGTAATCCCAGCACTTTGGGAGGCCGAGGCGGGTGGATCACGAGGTCAAGAGATTGAGACCATCCTGGTCAACATGGTGAAACCCCGTCTCTACTAAAAATACAAAAAAATTAGCTGGGCATGGTGGCGCATGCCTGTAATCCCAGCTACTCAGGAGGTTGAGGCAGGAGAATTGCCTGAACCCAGGAGGCGGAGGTTGCGGTGAGCCGAGATCGCGCCATTGCACTCCAGCCTGGGTAACATGAGTGAAACTCCGTCTCAAAAAAAAAAAAAAAAAACATAAAAACATATGTCGGCAACATTATTTCTTTCATCACAGAAAAGCCTTGCTGTATCCATAGAGTTGAGGGGAGGTCTCCTTGCTACCCTCTGGGTTCCCTAGATTCCAGAACCACTACCTACTGTGTCTCTGTATCAGTTCCTCCTCTCAAGCAGCTCAAGAAACGGCTTTGGGGACCCAAGCCTGGGGCTAGTCTGTCCAGGATGACTAAAGAGGGAGTTAGATGGAGAAGGCAGGGTCTGGAGCAGTACCTGGCATGTGCAGTATTCAGGGACTTAATAGATAAATGAGTAATTTGCTTGCATCCTTGTGCCAGGGTTTTTAAGAGTCAGTCCAAAATAAGGATTATATTATACATTTTTCAAAAAACTTTTTTTCCTTTAAAAGACTTATTTAGGAAGACTTAAAATGAAGATTTTATTTCCTTTAAAAAGACTTATTTATTAATCTACTTAACAAATTATTTACTAATTATAAAGGGGAAAATAGTAATTTGACAGTGGAGAAATACAGTGGCCACCCTTTTAACTAAGAGATCAAAGTTAACATCTCTTAAATAGGAAAAACCAATGTCATATGCCTGTGGTATTTTGGCAAAAATGCACTGCCTGAGTATAACCATGAGCAAACATCAGACAAACTCCAACTGAGGGACCTTCTACTCAATAACAGTCTTGTACTTTTCATATACACAAATGTCAATATCATAAAAGACTAAAGAAAGACTGAGGAAACTGTAACAGATTGAAGAAAACTGAAGAGACATGACAACCAAAAGCAACATGTAATCCTAGAATGGATTCTGGACCAGAGAAAGCAATACCTACAAGAGGAAGAAGAAAAGAAAAAGAGGAGGAAGAGGGGGAAGAAGGTGAAGAGAAAGAGGAAGAAAAGGAGGGTGTGGAGGGGGAGAAGAGGGGAAGAGAGAACAGCAGCAGCAGGGGGAAGGAGAGGGGACATTATTAGGATAATTGGCAAAATTTTAATAAGGTATATAGATTATAATATTGTATCAATGATATTAAGTTTCCTGGTTTTGTTAATAGTTAGTACATAAGTATTTCAGGGTAAAGAAGTACAATGTCTATAATTTACTCTCAAATGATTCAGTAAGGGCCAGGCTCGGTGGTTCATGCCTGTAATCCCAGCACTTTGAGAGGCCTGGGAGGGTGGATCATGAGGTCAGGAGTATGAGACCAGCTTGACCAACATGGTAAAACCCTGTCTCTACTAAAAATACAAATATTACCCAGGTGTGGTGGTGCATGCCTGTAATCCCAGCTACTTGGGAGGATAAGGCAGGAGAATCACTTGAACCTGGGAGGTAGAAGTTGTAGTGAGCCACGATCCCACCACTGTACTGATTCAGCCTGGGTGACAGAGTAAGACTGTCTTTCAAAAAAAAAAAAGAATTAAAGAAATTTATATATAGAGAGAGCATTGTGTCTTGTGCGTGTGTTCTCTTTCTCTGTGTGTGGGAATATAGAGACAAGGAGAATCATAAACCAAGGCTGAACACAGTGGCTCATGCCTGTAATCTCAACACTTGGGGAGGCCAAGGTGGATCATTCGAAGTCAGGAGTTCCAGACCAGCTTGGTCAACAAGGTGAAACCCTGTCTCTACTCAAAATACAAAAATTAGCTGGGCATGGTAGTACATGCCTGTAATCCCAGCTACTTGGGAGACTAAAGCAGGATAATTGCTTGAACCTGGGAGACGGAGGTTGGAGTGAGCTGAGATCGCACCACTGCACTTCAGCCTGGGTGACAGAGTGAGACTCACAAAAAAATTTTTTAAAAAGAGAAACTCATAAACCAAATATAGTAAAATATGGTGAATCTGGGTGAAAAATATATAGAAGTTCATTGTACTATTGTAACAAATTTTATGTAAGTGTGAAATCATTGCAAAATAAAAAGTTAAAAAAATTGTTATTAATCTGAAAATGATGTCATTTCCATATTATTGGAATTAGAAAGTCTGTTTAGGGCCGGGTGTGGTGGCTCATACCTGTAATCCTAGCACTTTGGGAGGCTGAGGCAGGCAGACCACCTACAGTCAGGAGTTCAAGACCAGCCTGACGGACATGGTGAAATCCTGTCTCTACTAAAATACAAAAATCAGCTAGGCATGATGACACATGCCTGTAATCCCAGCTACTCAGGAGGTTGAGACACAGAATTGCTTGAACCCAGGAGATGGTGGTTACAGTGAGTCAAGATCACGATACTGTAATCCAGCCTGGGCAGCTGAGCAAGAGTCCACTTGAAAAAAAAAAAAGAAAGAAAGAAGAAAAACAAAAGAAAGTCTATCTATGAACTGATAGGACAATAGATGGTGTTTTGCTTATTTTTTTTGAAATGGAGTCTCGCTCTGTCACCCAGGCTGGAATGCACTGCCAGGATCTTGGCTCACTACAACCTCTGCCTCCCCAGTTCAAATGATTTTTTGTGTGCCAGCCTCCTGAGTAGCTAGGATTTCAGGCATGTGCCCCTAAGCTCAGCTAATTTTTGTATATTTGGTAGAGATGGGGTTTCTCCATGTTTCGCAGGCTGGTTTTGAACTCCTGACCTCAAGTGATCTGCCCACCTTGGCCTCCCAAAGTGCTGGGATTATAGGCATGAGCCACTGCACCCAGCCAATAATTATTTTGAATGAACTTGCTTGGCAAAGTAAGTTAGCCTCCCCTGATGAACCCCTCCCCCAAAGTCTTTCATGGTGCAAGAAATCCTCAAATGTGGGAAGCAGTATTTCAGTGTGAATCTTCGACAGGATGGACTACTGCTCTCATCCAGAATCCAGGGGGAGGACACAGTGTGTCCTCAGCGATGGGCCAAGAACAACTCTGCAGAGGCTTCTTGGGATAGGAAACCCATGAGCACACACCTTCCTGGGCACATATCCATAGCACACACCCTGAGAGCCCCTAGAAAGGGGAGTCCAGCCTCCCTTGGCATGTGATTGGCTGTCCAGCTTAAGATGTGGCAGGTGCTCCAGAGCTGACCAGAGAGACAGAGTTGACATCACTGTCTCTTTCTAGAAACAGCAATGACAGAGAAGATCACACCAAGTGATAAAGGCAGGCTCTAATTAAGCCCTCAGCTGTGCAGGACTTGGGCCTTAATGGAAGGAGTAGGATTTAGTTAAGCCAGGGGAGAGGACAATGATTTCCCCTTCTGGGAGTCCCTCACCATACTCAGTAGGTACTCGGAGAGTGACGATGTAGCCACTATCAATTTTAGGAAACCGGGGCAGCTAAGACTTTGCAGATCAAACCAGCCTTTGTTTCCTTTACCAATTCATGATTGAGAATATTTGGCTGGCCCAATAGCATCCCTGGTGTGCCGGGAGGAAGGATGAGGCAAAGCGCTCACTGCTCCTCCTTCACCATGAAGGCTAGTATAACCTCTGTCCCCGGAGGATGCAGGACCCTCAGTGACAGGTGAGATTAAGAAATGGGGTTCCAGTCAGGCACAGTGGTTCACACACAAAGTGCTATAATCCTAGCACTTTGGGGAGCTGAGGCAGGTGGTTCACTTGAGGCCAGGAGTTTGGGACCAGCCTGGCCAACATGGTAAAACCTCGTCGCTACTAAAAATACAAAAAAACAAAATTAGCCAGGTGTGGTAGTGCCCACCTATAATTCCAGCTACTCGGAGGATGAGGCATGAAAAGTGCTTGAACCGAGCAGGCAGAAGTGGCATTGAGCCAAGATTGCACCACTGCACTCCAGCCTGAGCAAGGCAAGACTCTATCTCAAAAAAAAAAAAAAAAAAAAAAAGAAAAGAAAAAAAAAAGAAATGGGATTCCAATTCCTTCAGCAGCAGCAGGAACTGGAATCTGTTCTGTGGACTGTAGTGGGCCTGCTGGACAGAAGAGGGTCCAGCCAAGCCTCTGGACTCCACTGACAGGTCTGGGAGGATGCAGGCAGGGGTTGGGGCTTAGAGCAGGGCAGCAACTGAGTCTCACCATGAGGACACCAATAGGACATACAAACTCCATCAGGCCAAAATCAGGAGAAGATTCTGTGCTGGGCTGGGCCAGTGATCTCAGATTCAAGGGAGGTGGGGGCCCCACTCAGAAAGGAAGGTCTGAGTCAGGGACCATGAAGACAAAAAGTTGGAGGACAGCGTGTGGGGGCTTGTTAAGGATGGAGATTAGTGAGGATGAGGAATAGAGAGCCAGAAATAACCACAGAATTGTCAAGTCTAAGAAACCAAGGTGAGGATGGCTGTGAGAGTTGAATCTAGGGCTACAGCTGAAGGAGCTGAGTGATACTGGGCTGATGGTGGATGGTAGTTATTTTTAATGAAGTTGCTCAGGCATCAGGAGTGGGGCTGATGAAGAGACGGGGATGTTGGGGGAAGATTGGGTCACAGGGGAAACAGGGTGATAGTGAGGCTGAGGAGGAAGCAGGACAAACACCAAGGTCCACGGCTAAAGCCAGAGGCCCGAAAAAAGAGGGCCCAAAAACATGTAGGGCAACCCTAGGTCCTTGGAGATAGACTTTCATCAGGTGGGGATGGCAGAGCCAGAAGAGTTCATACTTATCCCCAAAGTAGAGGTTTGGGGAGCAGAGAGGAGGGCAGAGGCTGGTGGGGGGCAGACATGGGGAGGTGTCGCACTCTTCTGTGGTTTTGGAGGCCTGTCGGAGGGCTTGGCGCTCAGCCACAGTTGCATCACCACTGAGTGCGCTGAGTCTGTGACCCTGTTTTTACACATGCCTGTACCCAATCCAACAGGCGTCAGGAGGGTCGTCTTAAAACTCCAATCCAAAACTTTCTTTTCCGTCCGATCAGGCAGCGCGCAGGCCCCACGAACCGTGGCGGTGGGGCACATATAGCCTGCAACGCGCTGCTGCCCAACCCGCGGCCTCCGCTCCACCCTGCCGGGTCCAAGTGGGCGGCCAGTCTCCGCCCTGGCAGCCGCAGCGGAACCGGCTGCCCAAGGTCGGCGCTGGGTCGGCCCGCACGTTCCGGCGGGCTCCGCGCCAGGGGGCGGCGCTGCGGGCTGGCAGATCCGAGACCTTGACCTCGGCCGGGGCCCTGGGGAGAGAGCGTCCAGCCGGGGAGCCTGCCCCTGCGCACTCTTCGGCTCTCACGCAGCGGCTGGCAGCTTGAAGCCAGAGCCATGGGCAGAGGGAGCACAGTAAGAAGGCCCCCAGCCCTTCTCGGGGCCACGCCGGGGTCAAGCGGAGCACATAAGGGCCTGTCACCGGCCAGGTTAGGAGCCACTGTGGCCAGATCCCCTGGAGGAGGCCCTGGACCTGCGTGGCCACTACGGTACGGGAGAGCGGAGATGTAGCTCACTGCCCAGAGACTATGACCAGCCTGAAGCTAAATGGCGAGCGGAAGGGAATAATTTACCTTCAAAACAGGGAGGATTTGCTGGTCTACTAGCGAGACGGAACTGGAACCCACTATACCCACATCCTCATCCACAAGCGCCCACCTTGAAGGCTCAGAGACGCCATGGTTGTCATAGAAACACTCTTGCTGGGCAGCTGACATGAGCCTGTGGCATGGAGTGAGGCAAGGTTTTACCAGAATGTGTGCACACATGTAACACGACGTAAAATGTCCATCACTTATTATGCACATACTCTGAACCTAGGACTGTGCCAGGCACATTACAGAAGTAACTCAGATGTGAGTGTTTTGCAACCTACCTTTCCTTCCTATGGTATCCTGGAAGCAGGGTTTAACAATTCTCTCACCCCTTCCAAAATAATCCACTCATACAGTTGGATTTTATTGAAGGCTTCTAGAGGAGACCAAGGGAAGAGGAGATTTTATGTACCTACAGCAACAGGGTGAAGCATTTCTTTCCACTACATATCTCTTCCCTTGTGTTCCTTTTTGGCTATTTCTCAAGGAAACACTGCTCATGCTTCTCTGAGCAGTCTCTGAATCTTGCCCAGGCCCAAGTGCTCCCTCCAGGATCTTCCTCTGGACTCTCCAAGTCTCCCCTTTCCCTAAGAAGATCACTTGAGTCCTGCCTTTCCAAGACTGCTAGTGGGAACACACACTCACCCACATGAGACAGCCTGCTCAATGAGGACTCGCACTGCCAGCATCCACAGTCTGCAGAGGTCAGCAACAGTTTTTTTTTTTTTTTTTTTCCTTTTAACTAGAGAAGGGGTCTCGCTATGTTGCCCAGGCTAGAGTGCAGTGGCTATTCACAGGTGCAATTGCACTACTTATCAGCATGGGAGTTTTGACCTGCTCCGTTTCCGACCTGGGCCAGTTCACCCCTCCTTAGGCAACCTGGTGGTCCCCCGCTCCTGGGAGGTCACCATATCGATGCCAAACTTAGTGTGGACACCCGATCAAAATATCTCATGTACCCCCAAATAGATATACCTATTATGCAGACATAAAAATTAAAAAATAATTTTAAAAATCTTTCAAAAAGTTAATAGTTTCTACTTCATAGGGTTGTTGTAGTTATTCAATTAGTTACTACGGAAAGTGTTTAGAGCAGTACCTGGCATATAGCGCACTACAGCCCAGAGCTCATGGACTCAAGCGATCCTCCCACCTCAGCCTCCAGAGTAGCTGGGACTACTGGCACATGCTACCGCGCCCAGCCAGCAACAGTTTTTATTTCTGAAACACATAGCTTCTCTCATCCAACTTGTCCAGAAATCCAGGAGGTAGATATCATTCCCATTTTGCAGATGAAGAAACAGAAGCCTAGGGAGGTTAAGAAACTCCCCCAGTATCACATGTAGTAAGTGACAGAAGCAGCATTCAAACCCAGGCAGTCAAGTTCTTTACCCTCCCCAGGGAGTCTTATGGAGCAGCAGTTTAAAGAACCATATCTGGGTGATATCTTCTGGTGCATCTATGAGCATTCATGGAATTGTTGTTTATGTGGTGGGCAGGTCATGAGAATGTGTGATGTTCTTGCATCATTTTATGCTTCTTTGGTATTTGGACTTGAAGCAGCATTTCGCAAATACAGAAATTATGTTGGCAAGTTAAGCTGATGACAACTATCTGCACTTGTATTTTCTTCTATTAATCAAATACCAATGTAGCTGAGGTATATGGCCTCATTTGATCCTTACAACCCCTTATGAGACTGAAACAGTGGTAAAGTGATTCCTCCTTCCACAGTGTGAATTTCCTTTACAGAAAATTCTGAACGTATAGTACTTCAAAAGGTAAATCTTTCCCACAATGTCACAGATTTCAGACTAATTATAAATACTATATATAAATGCTATGTAAATACTATATATATACACACACACACACTATAAATGCTATATGAATATTTATATTGTAACATCTATATGCCAGGTACTGCTCTAAATAAATACTTTCCATAGTAACTAATCGAATAACTACAACAACCCTATGAAGTAGAAACTATTAATTTTTTGAAAGATATTTTAAAATTATTTTTTAATTTTTATGTCTGCATAATAGGTATATCTATTTAGGAGTACATGAGATATTTTGATAAGGCATATAATCCATAATAATCACATCAGGGTGAGTTATCTACTGCCTTGAGTGTTTATCATTTCTTTGTGTTACAAACATTCCAATTATACTCTTTTAGCTATTTTTTTTTAAGTGGAGCCTTGCTCTGTTGCCCAGGCTGAAGTGCAGTGGCATGATCATGGCTCATGCAACCTTCATCTCCCAGGTTCAAGCAATTCTCCTGCCTCAGCTTCCCAAGTAGCGGGGATTACAGGCATGTGCCACCACACCTGGCTAATTTTTGTATTTTTAGTAGAGATGGGGTTTCATCATGTTGACCAGGCTGGTCTCAAACTCCTGACCTCAAGTGATCTGCCCCTCTCAACCTCCGAAAATGCTGGGATTACAGGCATGAGCCACTGGGCCAAGACTCTTTTAGTTATTTTAAAATGTACAATAAATTATTGCTGCCTATAGTCACCCTGTTGAACTATCAAATGCTAGACCTTACTCATGTTAAGTGTATTGTTATACCCATTAACTTTACTACCCTCCCCACTACCCCCTTCCCAGCCTCTCATACCATGGTTCTACTCTCTAGGTCCATGAATTGTTCAATTGTTTTAATTTTTGGCTCCCACAAATGAGAACATGCAAAGTATATCATTTTGTGCCTGGCTTTTAAAGGCATTTTAAGCAAGACCTCATCTCTACAAAAAGAATGAAAAAATTAGCTGGGTGTGGTGGCACATACCTGTAGTCCAAGCTAATCAGGGGGCTGACGCAGGAGGACTGCTTGAGTCTAGGAATTAGAGGCTGCAGTGAGCCATGACTGCACCACTGCACTCCTGCCTGGGCAACAGAGCAAGGCTCTGCCTCAAATAAATAAAGGTACTTTAAAATAAATAAAGGTACTTTAACATACATTTTATTGTATGTAAATTAAGCCTCAAATTTAAAGTATCTTTATTTAAGGCAGAGTCTTGGCTTTATTTTTGAGTCTTAATTTACATACAAAAAATTTTAAAGTATAATTCTGAGTTTTGACAAATGTCTGTACTCATGTACCCATCACCTCAGTCAAGATATAGAACATTTCCATCACTCCAGGAAGTTCCCTGTGCCCTTCTCAGTCTGTACTATACAAAGAAGCCACTGTTATGATTTCTAATACGACAGATTAGCTTAGTGTTTTCTTTCTTGAGATGGAGTCTCACCCTGTAGCCAGGCTGGAGTGCAGTGGTGCAATCTCAGTTCACTGCAACCTCCACCTCCCAGGTTCAAGTGATTCTCCTGCCTCAGCCTCCCAAGTACCTAAGATTA